CACCTTGCTTCCTGCGTGGCCTGCCTTCCCTCCAGCGCAGCAATCATGCAGGCCTTCTGTCTTTTCCTTGAACATTCTAAGCCCCTTCCTGTCTCAGGGCCATTGGTCTGCTGATGCACTCTTACCACCTCCCATGTTCCCATGGCTGGCTGCTTTTGTCTCTCAAATGCCACCTTCTGGGAAGAGCCTTCCCTAAGCCCCCACACCCCCTCCCCATCACTCCCTGCCACTTTTCCTATTTTCGTTTCTTTGTAACTCTTATCTGTATCTTTCCTTATCCTTGTCCAGTGCTTTCAACACTGACTTGTTGGTCTTCCCACGCCTGGAACACTAGCTCCATAAAGCCAGGGACTTTATTAACCTTGTTCCCCCCGCATCTGGCAGAGCCCCTTGAAGGTGTTCTTTGGTTATTTGTTGAATAAATAATAGTATAAGGGTGTTCTAGGACAGCCCTTGCCAAAAAAGAATGGCCCTAACACAGAAACTGCAAAGAAATCCGTGTTGACTGATTGAAAAGTACTTACAGGCTGATTTTGTAAGCTGCCGGATGCTCCCTAACTGCGCCCAGCTCAGCAGAAACACAAGTTTCTGACCTCCTCTATGTGGGGCACATTGTGTAAATCTACAGAATAGTCTTGCAAGGGCGGTATCATTAGCTCCATCTTGCAAATGACAAAACTGAGGCTCAGAGTGGTGCCCTGAAAGCTAGTGTGGAACAGTGCTGGGATTGGAACCCAGGGCAGGCCACTGCACAGCTCTGGGCTCCTTGCACGGCCGGCCCAGCCCGCCTCCCTGACTTCAGGCAGCGAAGCAGGCAGGGCAAGGATTTCTGAGCTCCTGGGAGCAGGAGTGGTGACTTCTCTCAATTGCTCAAAAGAAAGTAAGCACTCCACAATGTTAAGCAGTCACTTTGAGCTATGGGACTCTGGGTGTTTTCTGTTTTGTTTTATTATACTTGCCCATAATTCCCAAGGGCTGTACAATGAGCTTCTGTTACTTTTCTATTAAAAAAAAAAAGGGGAGATTTACTGTTTAAACTTGAGCACCACAGCTGGCTGGCGGGTAGAGATGGAGCAGGAGCCTGGGCTCTTGGAGAGAGATGTGTTTCGGCCCTTCCTGTGCAACTTGGACCCCAGGTTGTTGGGAGCTTACGATGAGATTATGAAAGCTGACGCTCTCTGTAACCAAGCACTGCGGGCAGCAGGAGGAGTTTGCTTTGCTGCTGGCTCTTGGGTTGGTTTACGGTGGGGCCGTGGGGGAGGCCTGGGGGAAATTCCCTGAACTGTGGTTTCAGTTCTAGGTGACCAGTTAAAAGTAAACAAAAGGCATGTTGCTGAAGTTGGCGGACATTCCACTTATTTCTTCATTCTGATAGGACAGGTAGATCGATAGAAATGAGCAGAAGGACAGACCGAGCCCCCATTAGAAAGCCCCTTGCTGCAGCTCCTACTTGGGTCAAGACCCCTTGCAGCTGCCCTCACTTAGGGCACCAATGCCTTACTGGCCCAGCAGGATTCCCGGCTTCCAGATACCCCTAAATCAAAGGGATATGTTGTTAAAAGCCCGATAAGGGAGGAAGACATCCCACTTGTTAGCGTAAACATCCTGATTATCAGGACCATTTTAGTGAGCTTCTCAAACAGATCATAGAAAGAAAATTGACAGAAACTACCTTGAGAACCAAAAGGAAGGACTGGGCACCTCAGCAGGAGAGAGAGAGAGATAAAGAGAAGGGAGAGGGGAAGGCGATTCTACCCATAGGAATAAAAGTCTCCATACAATTTAAGGAGAGCCTTTCCCCCTCTTGGGATCAGTCCGCTCCGCATCTTGGAGTTTATCTGCCTTTACCAATAAACTTACTACGCTGTCCCTGCACAAAACGCTCTCTCGACTGAATTCTTTCCCTAGGAAAATCATCACAGCCCAATAACAATTCCTTGACAGGTGGTTGGTTCCCTGTGGAGCCTGGGGCAATGCCAATACCTCCTGTGTGGCCTTGGGCAAGTCACGGACCCGCCAAGCCTCACGTTTTTGTTTTTAAGACTTTATTTTTTTTTAAGCCTTGCTTTTCTGTGGACAGTGGGGATAATAACACCTACTTTTGAGATTATCACAGGGATAAAAACATAATTCCTTAGAACCGGGCTGCTAAGTCATTGCAGGCAGGCAGCCTGGGACGCTGTTTTTAAATGCATGGAACATAAAATATGTAAGCTTACAGGGGAAACCAATTCTCCTGAACTGTAGCTGTGCTTTTTTATCAAGGCACTGAAAACGAGACCCAATAATGAGTTTAACATATTGATAACTACCATGATTTCAAAGTTGTGATGAGCGTGGGCAATAAATATTTGGTGTGTCTGCAGTAGCTGAAATGTGACAAGGGAAAAGCGGTGATTTCTAGCACTGGCAGGACCGTGGTGTATTGTCCACATTCACAATTGAGGGGAATGCTAAGTATCAGGCAGGGGTTAGTGGAAAAAAACCCTTATAAATGCTTTCCCATCCAAATGCATGGGCCCCTGAATTCTCTCTGCAGGCCCAGGTTCAAAATCCCTGCCATAAGGTGCTTGACACCCAGTGGGTCATCTCCAGAAAGGAGCCGAGACCCCTCCCCAACCTTCTTGGACTAGAGGGTCCTCAGGTGGACAGGCAGGGCGCATAAGGACAGTGGGGAAGGGGTCAGTGCAGACCTGGAACGCTGACAGGTAAGGTTAGGGATGGCGAAATTCAACCTTTCCCGGTCTCTCTGAGTAAGCCACCGAGGGCTGGTCAGTCTGGAGAAGCGCCAGACACCTTTGCAGATGACGTAACCTCAGGGAGCGTTTGCGTGTGTGGCAGGTCTGTAGTCTGCACTGAACCTGGGGCAGGTGAGTGCCAGGTGGGCAGAGTGTGGGAGGAGGCATCTTGTGGGGATGGGTTGGGAGGTGACTGAGTAAGCTCCGAAGTCCCAGCTGCCAGGGTTCACATCCCAGCTCCGTCACTCCCTAACTGGCAGGTTACTTCACCTCCTTGTACCTTGGTTTCCTCATCTGTAAAATGGGGTGACGATAGTGCTTTACTTATGGGGTGTTGTGAGGATTAAGTATTATATTTAAAACTCCCAGAATAATAACTGGTAGGAGGAAGTGCTTAATAAATGAGGACTGAAATCAGCTTCTACACGGTTATGTAGGATCTGTGAGACTCCACTTGCTCAGAATAGGGCCCTGAACCCGGCTTCTCTGTGCTGCCCAGAGATGAATCAGACATAGCCCTTGCCTTCCAGGAGCTTAGAGTTTAGGGAGAGATGGGACGTGAGCACAGAATTTCAGATAACTAAGATAAGTACAGTGGTGTTGTGCTGGGCTTGGGGTGCTGTGCTCAAGTGGGTCAGGGTGTTAAGACATCCAGGTAGCACTGCCCGGAAGGTAAGGGATGTGAATCTGAAATATTGGGGAGGGGGTGAGCCTGGCAGGAGGAATAGATTTGTGAGTCAGCAACATGACTCATGAGATCACGAAATGGAAGAGCTCATCTCGGGAGAGCGTGCGGAGGAGCACTGTCCCTTACAGGGAAGCTCAGGCGCGTTGGCCTTGAGACCTGGGCAGAGGAAGAGGAGCCCCTGACAGACAGAGCAGGAGTGACCAGAGAGGTGAGAGGACCCGGCAGATGAAGCCGAGTCCCGGAAAAGGCGAGTGAAAAGCTGTCCCTCTACTGGACTCAGCAACTAGGAGGTCCCTGGGATGGGGTGACCCTTGGTCAGCACCTGCAGTGGAGTGGGAGTGGGGTTACTGTAAGTTGGGGAGTGGAGTAGGAGGCGAGGGTGTGTAAACAACGTCGACAACTCTCTCATGAAACGTGACCAAGAAAGCGAGGTGAGGTTGTGCAGTAATCAAAAGGGGATTTAGGACCTGGGAGGAATTGTTTTGGTGTGTGGGGGGGGAGTTGAGCCTGTTGGCAGGCTCTGGAATCCTGGGATTGGATCTGATTGCTTAATGGGTGACAGTAAAGGTGATGGTGATGTGTGTGGGCTCTGGGGCGTGAATCCCGGCTCCCTCATGTACCAGCTGTGTGACCTTGGGCAAATCACTTAACATCTCTGTGCTCTGTTTTCTCTGCAAAATGGGAATGCTAGCAGTCCCTATCTAACAGGGATGTGTGGGAGCTAAGAGTTAAGGAAGGTATTACGTGTCAAGTGATCATGGCATGATAACCACTCAGCAAATGTTAATTTGATTATTAATGTCTCTGATTATTAATTACCTGATTATTAATGTCTCTCAGTGTCAGTTTTTCCCATTGACTCATTCAATACTTATTCATTCTTATCTATATAAAGTCTGAGTTGGATGAGTAGATATTCATTCATCTATTTCTTGTACCACCATTTATGGAGATGGAGCACTTAGGGCTGAGTGGAGAGGCTGCTGGAGGGCGTGAAAGGAGGGTGGCCTCAGGTTCAAATCCTGCCTCAGCTGCATGCCAACTCGTGATAGGGGCTTCCTAAGCTTCAGCTCCTCCTTGATAAAATGGGGACAGAATGACACCTGCCTCACTGTGCTGTTGAAGATTCAATAAGGTCCTTACACAGAGTACCCGGCACAGTACACGGTGCTACATTGTAGCTATAATCACTGGCATATTTTGCATTTTCTGTGTCTGTTCTCCCCGGACTGAGTTTGATTGTAAAACAAAGTTTTTTCCTTGAACTTGAGGGTGTCTCGTGCAGTACTGTAGTCCAAGCCATGTGTAGAGGAGGGCAGGAGGCCTTCATGCAGCCTCTTGCCCATCAAGGGCACTGTACAAACTCGGAGTCCAGTGGGATGTGGGCGTGGAGGGCAGGAGCTGTGTGGCCTGGCACGGATGGCCTTTGGAGACCCTGAGACAGGGCACTGACCTCAGTGACTCCCCTCTGCACCTGTGAAATGGGATGAGAGTGGGAGTGAGAGAGTACACAGTCGGGAAGGCAGATGGCCATTGGCCCCTGCTGACTATCTGACGGACTGTTCTCTCCCCAGAGACTGATGGAGAGGCAGAGACGGAAGGCGGACATCGAGAAGGGGCTCCAGTTCATTCAGTGAGTGCGCGCTGGGCAGGCTGGGCAGGGTGGGTCCTCCAAAGGCGACGCCCGAGCACACAGGCTCTATCTAGCTTTCCTTCTCTTGCTCTCTTCCTAGTGCATGCAGGGGTCTGGGGGTAGATTTGTGCACCCCACATGTGAGCCATGAACCTCCCACATGCACATGCTTGGTCTTGTCTAGGATACCATTTTACCCTCCACATATGCTCGTTAATGCTCTGGCTTGCCTGTGTGCATCTTAAAATAAATCGATAGCCCTTGCTTAATGAGCACATCTTTCCGGCTCCATGCTGGGCCCTTCACATCCATCATCTTTTTATCTTCACAACAGCCCAGTAAAGCTGGTGGTCTTATCTCTATTTTGCAGATGAGAAAGCTGAGGTTCTGAGATAAGGAACTGGTTTAAAGTCACACAGCTATTAAGTGACAGGATTCTAACCTGGGCCTCGCTGACTCCAAAACCACATTTCTTTCCATTATGTCCTGCCCAGTACCCATATGCCATATATATGTGTATGTGTAATATATACACATTTTTTTTTTCCATTTTGTTTCTTTACACACAAAACGTTTGCACTACCATTTTCCTTTTCTCTCTCTGAGGCCTATTGAACGCATCATGAGTGAAGTGTAAGCCTCGGGGCTCCTCACTTGCAGGGGTCCCTTCTGCCACCCCGGGAGGCTTCTTAGTCATTCTGTGTTCTTTTTCTTAAATAGGACTCCCTACAAAACTGGAATTCACATCCACCCACCTTCATATAAACCCCTCAGCTTTGGTGTCCCACTCAGACCCGTAAAATACGACCTGCCTCTTCGCACAGAGTCCCTTTTCACGCACGTGTCCGCATCGCTCTCCTGAGCTCATGTTTATATTCACACAACACACTCTCGCCTTCCTCAACTTGCAACGCAGTCACTGTTCCTGGCTCAGGCCTGGCCAGCAGAGCTGTTGCCCATTCCTCTCTCTTCACTGGGAGCCAGTCTTCTTTCACTTGCAGGGGGACCTTGATTTGGGGAAGTGCTCAGGTATTGGGTCGTCAGGAAAGTCAGCACGTGTTTTTCTATGTCTTTCAATGCAAAAATGCGTCATGACTTTCCCGACAGCCCAGTATTTTTCAAAGGCCAGTCTGGTGAACAAGGTGAACCTGGAGAAGGCTGTCTTTCCTAAGAATTCTGGCTTTAACAGAAGTCACTGATTTCTGTGGCGCTGGACCTCCGAGCCCGCACCCCAGTTCTTCTGCTTCCTGGGTGGTCAAGTCACTGCCCCTCTCTGAACACGTTTTCCCCTCTGTGACATGAGGAGCCTGAGCTTCTCTCCCAGCGCAGCCATTCAGCCTGACAGACGTGCCTCAGTTCTCCTGGGCTGACACTCTCTTACCTACTGAGCTGGCATTTTTTCGGCCACAGGAGAAGAGAGGATGCCCAAGATCCCAACCTACTTCGTTGAGTCTGGCATGAAGGGTTGACAGGCTCTGAGCGGGCCTGACCCTGGTTGGGGTCATGTTTGTTTGGTGGGAAGGGACAGGAGAAGGGGACTTTTGGTGCCACCTGTGGGCATGCAGTGGCAGGTTTTGGTTTGGTAGGGTGCAGCCATTACAGAGGACTGGTTTCTTAGGCAGAGGATAGCCGGCTGGAGCTGGTCTGTTCTCTCTCAGCACCTGCACCTGGGAAGGCCTGGCTGCCAGGCCTTGGGGCAAACGCAAGGCCTTCTGCCCTTTCATCAGATATGGAAGGCCAGCATGGTGTTGATTTAAAGAGAGAAAATGCTGTCCCCTCACCCCAATCCACAAGGTGACGTCTGAGGCCTAAGCTGGAGTTGCCCACTGCAGGCACGCTCTGGCCTGTGGCTCTGGTTGCTGGGCCTTCATGCAGCTGGGACCTCTGGGCTCACGCACACCTTGTGTCCCTCTCCTTTTCTTGCTAGGTCAACACTACCCCTAAAGCAAGAAGAATATGAGGTAAGTGTTGGCCGCCAGGCTGGGGGACGGCGAAGGGCAAGGGTGTCCAGGAGAGGCGGGTGTGGGGCTGGGTGAAGAAGGCCCCCTGAGCCACCTCTGCACCCCACCCCCACAGGCTTTCCTGCTCAAGCTGGTGCAGAATCTGTTTGCTGAGGGCAATGACCTGTTCCGTGAGAAGGACTACAAGCAGGCTCTGGTGCAGTACATGGAGGGGCTGAACGTGGCCGACTACGCGGCCTCCGACCAGGTGACCCTGCCCCGGGAGCTGCTGTGCAAGCTGCATGTCAACAGGGCCGCCTGCTACTTCACCATGGTGAGCCTGGCACCCTCCCCCGCCCAGATCACCGCTTCCCCTAGATGCCCAGCCGAGCCGGGCCCATACCCTGGGGAGCCCTGCCAAGCCGGCTCCTGCTCATTCTGTCTGAATCTCACCATCCACTCCCTTCGCTCTCAGCCAGCGGCACAACAGATTCACCTGGAGAGCTTTTAAAGTACTAATATGCAAATTTTTTTAAAAAATGGTTTTTTAAATGACATTGGTGCCTAAGCCCTGCCCCCAATGGACTAAGTTAGAATCTCGGGGTGGCCTGGGCATTGGCAGGAGTCTGTGGGGCCTCACGACTGAGAACTGCTACTCATCGAGCTGCCTCTTTCTGCAAATCTCTGAGGTCTCCTACGCCCACCTCCTGGACTTCTCCCCTTCCATCACACCCTCACTTTGCTCCACACCTTCAGCCTCCTCCTCTCCCCTGTCCTGCTCGCTCACTGACTCTGTCACTCCCCAGATCCTGTGGGATGCTGTGCTGTGGGCTCTGTAGAGGCTCCCGGGACACTTCTGCATCCACAGTGGATGTTCTGGATAAACGAGTCTACCAGATGCCTGCGCACACTCTATACGCGGCCTGCCTTCATGATATCACTTCCTCCCGGAGGTGCCTTTATGGCCATCAGTCCATGGTGTTCTGAATCGACAGCAGATATAAAATAGACGCGTCTGAGTGATGGGCTCATCACTGTAGAATGTGAAGGCCCCTCCCCTCCCATTGGCAGCCCCTTCAGCTGGACACACAGATGCCCTTGACCCGAATGTGAACACTAGAGCTGTGTCCTTGAGCTCTGGAGCCCCCTCTCAGGGCCTGGTTCCCCCCCTGCTTCATCTCTGCTGGTCTTCTGTGGAGTAGGGCGCCGCAGGCCTGGGGGAGGGAGGGTGGCAGGCGCTGACCACTGAGCCGCCTGTTCTTCTCTGGCAGGGCCTGTATGAGAAGGCGCTGGAGGACAGTGAGAAGGCGCTGGGCCTGGACGGCGAGAACATCCGGGCGTTGTTCCGCAAGGCGCGTGCCCTCAACGAGCTGGGACGCCACAAGGAGGCCTATGAGTGCAGCAGCCGCTGCTCGCTCGCCCTGCCCCACGTGAGTGCCGCTCTGCGTCCACGCGAGGGGCCAGGCTCTGAGGCCGAGCGCCAGCCCTCTGCGCTGGCCCTCACTTGGGCCGAGTGACCACCACATCTTTCTGAGCTTCAGTTTCCTCCTCTGTGATACAGTGTTGCGGCTACTGATACTAACCCTGAGCTCTGATTGTGTGCCAGGTGTTGCTAAAGATATATTGTATTAACTCACAACAAACAACTCTTTAAGATACAGTTACCCCATTTTAAAGATGACTGAGAGAAAGGAACTTTCCCAATGTCACAGCGAGGGGGCAGCAGAGCTAATATTTGAAGTAAGGACTCTGAACCTCTATAAGAGTGCAGGGTTGCAGTGAGGACTAAAAGGAATGCCACATGTGTGGGGTACTGATGTCCTGGCTGTCATTAGGTGGGGAAGAGGCAGTGGGAAATGACCGATAGAGAGCCTCGCTTGCCAAGCTCACTCACGGCTGGGTATATCTCCCCTCCCGATTTATTCATCCACTTAACAAGTATTTACTGAGTGCCCATGCGTGCCCAGATCCGTACCTTTCAGGGACTAGGAGACAAATGGAAAGTGCTCTGGGGTCTAGGCCTGGCTCCACCCCTCACCCCTGGCATGACCTTGGATAAAGCACTTCACATTTCTGCACATCAGCTCCATGACAATCCCTCAAATAATGGGCATGAAAGAACTTGGGGATGGGTCATTTCTTCCCAGGAAGGGCTGAGAGGGCTCAAGAGTGGTCAGGACCCTGGAGGACTCCCTAGAGGAGGCAGGGCTCGAGTGGGCCTAGAAGAAGCAAGAAAGATTTGGGTGAGCAGAGCAGAGAGGAAGTCATGTGCACGATGGTCAAGGATGTCGGTGCCAGAGAGCTGGCCTGGGTTTGGGTCCTAATCTTGGGACTGCTACCTATTAGCAGTGTGATCTTGGACACACAGCTCAGCCTCTCTGAGCCTTGGTTTGCACCCCTGAAAAATGAGGGTGATAACGTACCATGCATAACAGGGCTGTGCTGAGGGTGGAATCAGAAAATCACATGTGGCAGTTGGCACAATGGCCGGACACTGTAAGTGTTCAGAAAACATTCAGTTACTCTACTTTTTGTTTATTATTTTTGCTTCCCCAATTCAGTTCAATTCCCAATGAGAACCTTTCTTATAACAGTTGTCCCCGATCCATACTGCATTACCAGCGTTCACAGCAGGTCCACATCCATGGACACCCACTCCCGGGAGGGCGGGCAGCTTTTACTCCACTGTACAGCCCAGCGAGCGCTGGTAACTTGCCTGAGGAAAGTACCCAGATGAGGACTTTGGACTTTGAGTTGAAGAATTCCCCTGTTTTCCAGTCTTTGTGGGCAAATATTATACTAACTGAGCACTGGGACCAGAGATGACCTCGACCCTGGCCCTGGGCTCCAGGAGCTCATCAGTGAGGTGGGAGGTGGACAGGTACACAGGATGTCCCTGTCGCCTCTTTATTGCCCAGACCACCGTCCCTCTTTCTTTACTGATTGGTCTCCCCCCACTAGACGAGCCTCCAGGAGGCCCGGCTCCATCTGCCCTGTCACCTGTGTTCCTGGCCCCTTGCTTGTGACTGGCATGTGGTACAGGCGCAGTAATACAGACTTGGAAGGAGGAAGGCGTGCTGGGTGCTGTTCCAGAGCACTAACCGAGGGCCAGGTGCCCGCTAACCTTCACACATCCTCGCTCCTTTGGGCCTCTGCACAGCCTATGACTTGCAAAGAGTTCCATCCAACACATTGTTTGGTGAAAGAAGCAAGTTGTAGAATAATAGGCATAATATGATCCCACTTATGTACAAAAAGAAAGAAAGGGCCGGCCAAGTGGCACGTTGGGTAAGAGTTGGCTTGGGACGCCAGCTCTGAGCAGCAGGGCCCTGGTTTGGATCCCACATGAGGGCCAGTGACGCTGCGCCCTCTACAGTTAAGATGGTGAACAACAGCTCGACCTGGAGCTGGGCTGCCGTGAGTCGCCGGCGACGGCGTAGGCTGCAGTGAAGCTGCAGTGGGCTGCCATAAGCTACTGTGAGCGGCTGGCAGCAGGCATGAGCTGCCATGATAATACCAGCGCAATAATAAGAGCGCAATGATAATACCAACATGGGCCAGTGAAGCGACGTCCTCCACAACTAGACTGAAGAACAAAAGGACAGCAACTTGTCTGTTCCCCTTCCCTGATTCCCCAACGCTGTTCCCCTCCCTCAATTCCCCAATTCCCCAATAAAATCTTTAAAAAAAAAGAAAGAAGGAAAATCCCCTCAGAGCAAACTAAACATCCTTTGTAGGTTCATATACATGTCTAAATTCTTAAAAAAGATCTGTAGGGAAATATGTCAGACCCACAAGGTGTGCTCCCTCTGGGGAGGAGCCTAGGGTGGTTCAGGAGAGCACTTGCTCTCTCTCTACCATTTCAGCCTTTCACAGTGACACTACTGCTTGCTGAATTATGGAAATAAAGAGATAGTATTAAACAAATTTTGGGCCAACCGAGTGGCTCAGTTGGTTAAGAGCTTGCTCAAGAGTGCAAGCTCTGAGCAATAGGGTCGCTGGTTCGATACCCACATGGGCCCAAGCTGAGCTGCTGCTCAGCTAAAAAAATAATAAATAAATAAACAAATAAACAAATATTACTCTTTCCCCCCCACACAATAAAAGGAAAAAGAGAGGCATGAGTTTCTGGTCCCAGCCCCACCATGCTCGAGCTGTGTGATTAGGCAGCCAGTGAGCCCTTCCGGGGCCTCACTCCCTGGTCCGTGATGTGGGGTGAGGGTGGGCCGCCTTGCAGGGCTGCACAAGGTATCCGTCAGCAGCGCTGCGGGAGCCAGGCTGACTAACCAGCTCCTCTCTGTGTGTTACCTTCCCAGGATGAAAGTGTAACTCAGCTTGGTCAGGAGCTGGCTCAGAAGCTTGGACTACGAGTTCGGAAGGCGTATAAGAGGCCCCAGGTAGATGGGCTCTGGGTGCTGGGGAGTGGGTGGGAGTGGAGATGGGGGGATCTGAAGAGGGGACCAGGCACCTTTGGGAGAAGTGCATGAGGATGGCCAAAGCCAGGCCAGGACAGGGGAGTGATGGACGGCAGGTGAACTTCCCTGTATTTGGCTGAAAGCCCTAGAATGACTTTCAGAACCTTTTGGGAAAGGAAAGAGCAGACAAAAGCTTCCAGCTCACCTTGGATACCAGCAGTTAAAACCCACTCCCTCCTTGCCTTGGCCAACTTCAGTACCCAGGAGACAGCCTGAGTTGACACTGGCGTCCTTCAGCCCTATGTTTTCAAATAGCCCCATATGATGACTATTTGAAATGTTGGTATCTGTTTGGCTCATTCAAATCCATGTATATTTATCTAGTGCCTACTGTGTGCCAAGAAGCTGCATGTAGGAAAGGGTGTGGCTCTAAAGTCTGCTGTGACCTTGAGCAGCTTAGCTATCTCTCCACCTTGTTTTCTGTACCTGGAACGTGGAATACCATGCCCACCTCAGAGGGTTCATAGGAGGATCAAAATGAGAGCATGAGATGACAGCTGGAACAGTGCCTGGCACATAGTAGGAACATGTGCTTGCAAGTTCGTTGTTCAGGTCATGGTTATAGGTACAAAACACCCGAATCTGACCCAGAGGGACAGTGCAGGTGACTTGTGGCAGGCCTGGGGGCAGGGAGCCTTGGAGGACACCACAGACCCTAACCACTTGTGCTGGGGCCCCTCTGCTGCCCTGGCTAATGGGACCCTGAGCATCTTTCCAGAATCTTCATCTCTTCTTACCTCTCTCCAATCTCTGGCAGGAATTGGAAACCTTTTCTCTGCTCAGTAATGGCACTGCGGCTGGTGTGGCAGATCAGGTAGGGTGGGGCCTGGACCCCAAGCCTCCCTCCCCATTTCCAGGAGCAACATCTCGTGCTTCATCCATCGTGAGAGCTTTGAATTCACTCTCTGGGGTATAAGTGACGTCAGGCAGTGGGTACGGGGCATCAGACTGAAGGGTTGGGCTCAATCTATCCTTGTTCCCACTGCTGTGAGCCCGGCACCTGCCCTGGGAATTGGGGGGTGACTGACAGCCTGGACCTGAGTCAGGCTCATGAGGACAGCTCCGGGCGCACAGCTTTCTACCTCCTAAGAGGTGCCTCCTGTGACCACAGGGGCAAGTGTGGGAACAAGCCGTGGCTGCTGGTGGTAGGAATGGTTACTTCAGGGGAATTGTCAAGGGTAGCCTCACTTGTAGGCCCCTGAGACAAAACAATGGCAGCAAGAAGGGCGGGGGTAAGGAAGTAGAAAGAAAGGCAGTTGGGACCAGACCACCCAGGCCTTGTCGTGGGGGTGGTGGCAGAGCCCAGCACACACAGGACCCCCACCACTCACCACACAGGAACTCATCAGTGGACTTTGAGGCTTTCTGGAAGATGAGGAACAGGCTCTAAGTGCTAATGGAGACGGTGTTCTGCCTCCTCGTTGTACATAAGGGGAGACTGAGGCACAGAGTGAGCAGGGGGCCTGGCCAGTGTCACACAGCAAGGCAGCTGCAGCACGTTAGGAAACTTTCATTCATTTACTCACCATGCTCCCAGGCAACCCCTTCTTGGCCCTGGGCTGGCCACTGGGCCAGAGCTATCAGGCGTGAAAAAATAAAAGGTAAACAAAATGTGATCAGCACTATAGAGAAGGGGGCTGGGAAGAGCTGGGGCTATTGGGAGGGGCTCACAGTTTTAAACAGGGAGCAGGGAAGACCTCAGTGAGGTGGAGACACTTACTTGGGTAAAGACCTGAAGGAACTGCGGGATGAGCCATAGGGAGGTCTGAGGAACCAGGCAGAGGGAACAGCCAGTGCAAAGGCCCTGAGGCAGGAGAGGACTCTGTGTGAGAAGAACAGCAGGAGGCTAGGATGGCCGGAGGGGACTGTGTAGGGCCCTCCTTCCCTCTTGCCAACAGTAATGGTGCTCAGCCTACATCTGCCTTACCTGCCATGATCTTCCTCTCCACAGGGAACTTCCAATGGATTGGGGTCCATAGATGACATTGAAACAGGTAATGTCCCTGATATGAGGGGACGGGGTGGAGATGGGGCACAGGGGAGGGCTCAGCCCCAAGATCCTTGAGAGGTCAGATGAGGTAAGACCCAGCCCTGTAGATAGGGGTTCCTGAGGGCTCCCTGCCCTGGGGACTGTGAAAGCAAATAGTGAGTTCAGGAAAAGACCCCTACAGGAAGGGGAGAGCACCTCCCACCTGGGAGGGCGGGGCCGGCCTCATAGTGGGGTAGCTGGTCCCCTGTCCTCCACTCCAGGCTGGCTGCCCCACTGGGAGTCCACTTCTCTCAGAGTCCTCCTCTCCTCTTCCTCACTGGCTTCCAGGAAAAGTCACTTTAAAACTGTCCCTTAGAGAGGGCACTGCTTACCCCAGAGGCAGGATTTGTAGCACTGAGCCAGGCCCATCAGGGATGTACTGTGGGACTGAAGGACCCTCTCCCGCTCTGTGACGGTCTTCCTTCACTATGACTGAGCCTCTGCCAATGGGGTCGGGCCAGTGGGCCCGGCAGGGTTCCCGGCAGGAGCTGGAGAAAGGGCGGAATGTACTGGATGAGGATCCCAGGTCTCTGGGCCACTTTCCCCACTCCCACCAAGCAGAACCCTTTGCGGCTACTGAGCCTACACCCTCCTTCCACAGACTGCTACGTGGACCTGCGAGGCTCCCCAGCCCCCCTCCCCTCTACCCCTATGATGCCCCTGTTCCCTCACGTTCTGGACTTGCTGGCCCCCCTGGACAGCGGCAGCAGGGCCCTCCCCAGCACCGAGGGCCTGGATGACTTCTCCGATGGGGACGTCTTTGGTCCTGAGCTTGATACTCTCCTGGACTCACTGGTGAGCCATGCTGCTGTCCTTCTGCTCCTCTGAACCCCTCTTCCACCTAAGACCCCACCACATCATCCTCACGTCCCACGACGGGGGGAAGGAAGGCCCCATCTCCATGTCAGAGATGGGGACACTGAGGCCTTGGGAGGGAAGGGAACCTGCTGGGGATAGAATCGTGAAGCTGCAGGCTTGGCAGCCGGAAGGGACGGTAGAGATCCTGGCTACGTGCCATGGGACAGGCCGGGGCTGAGGCACAGAGGGGCCGGCTTGCCCGCAGTGTCCAACTGTGCCCAGACCCGGCAGTCAAGTTCTCCTTCAACTTCTCCCTCTGTTCCCCACCTTGCAGTCTCTGGTCCAGGGTGGCCTGCCTGGCAGCAGTGTGCCCAGCGAGCTGCCCCAGCTGATACCCGTGTTTCCCGGCGGGACCCCGCTGCTGCCACCCGTGGTAGGCGGCTCCATCCCCGTCTCCAGCCCGCTGCCCCCCGCCTCCTTTGGCCTTGTCATGGACCCCTCCAAGAAGCTGGCTGCCTCCGTGCTGGATGCCCTCGACCCCCCGGGCTCTGCACTGGATTCCCTGGACCTGCTGCCATACTCAGAGACCCGGCTGGACGCCCTGGACAGCTTCGGGTCGGCCCGGGGCTCCATGGACAAGCCCAACTCCTTCATGGGTGAGGCCTGGATGGGCTTGGTTTATCCCCCACCCCCTTGATGGTTTGCAAAGTGCCGTCACCTCTACAGTATCTGCAGACTGGAGTTGGGGTTACAACTGTGTTTTGCCAAAGCCCAGGTCCTTCCACCCCATCATGGTCCAAGGCCACATCTTCTGAGTTGCTGTGTCTCCTGCAGTGCTCGGCACATTGTGGGGCCGAAGCCTGAGGGGCTGGTGTCTCGTTCAAGATCAAACAGCAATGCTGGGGTAGGCTAGGCCTCCAGACTTGCAGCCTGGTGCGCTCTGCCCAGCCTGCCAGGGCCCTGGGGTAGCCAGGCTGGTGGGATCCCATGGGATGATCCTGAACGTGGGGAAGGGCTGTCAGGCCATGGGCTCCTTCAGCAGCGCTCTGAGCTGGGTGCCAGGGACCCAGAGAGGATACAGGCCCATTTGAGCCCTTACAGTACTAGCTTTCCAGTCAGATCTAGTGTAGGGCGCTCATGGCTGATGGGGAGTCATGGGGCGGCAGAAGGGGTGTCACGCAGCCTTGGGGCCAAGGGAGACTTCCCAGAGGAGGTGATGGCTGAGCGGGGTCTTGAGGAAGGTCATCTGCAGCAGAGGGAGCAGCAAGACCAGCATGGCACAGGCTGCGTGAGGAAGGGACAGGCGGATAAGTAGAGCGGTCAGCCAGAGGGGAGGGCCAGTTGAGGCCTTGGAGACCTGAGCTGCTCTCCGAGGACCTGTGAGCCAAGCTGAGGAGCTTTCGCTTTGTCCTGGGGACAGTGGGGGTGCGGAAAGTATGAGCACAGGTGGACATGCTCGGGCTAGGACGCTTCTCTGTCACTGGGCAGCGGCCATGGGTGTAGGGTTAAGGGATCAGCGTGAATAGGAGAGGATGTGTGACCTGGGAGGCTTCTCCGGAATAGAAATGCGGAGGGAAAAGTCCTTGGAGGGCCTCTCTTGCCCTTCAGAACAGGGCAGTGACCTTCTGTGTCTTCTCCTTGCCCAGAAGATACCAACTCACAGGACCATCGTTCCCCGAGTGGTACTCAGAAACCAGCCCCCTCGGTGAGTGATTTGGCGAGGGTCAGTGACCAGGCGCCTCATGCCCTCCTGGGTTGGAGGGCGAGTGGTTGTGGGCTCCAGAGTAGGGGTGAGCCCTCTGCCTGAGACAAGGGGCTGCATCCCCCAAGGAGGGGCCCCTTTAGAGCAGACCAGAGGTAGCCTTGTCTATCTTCCAAAGTGAGCCGCGTGCTGGGAGGGTGAGCAGAGGATACCAGGGTCTGATAGATGAGGACATTGAGGCTCAGAGGGGCTACGTAACTTCTCCAGGGTCAATAACATCCCTGGTCTCAGGACTCAGCCAGATTCTGAGTGCAGGAGAGCACTTGACCAGGAGTTACGCGGTCTGAACTCATGCCTCAGCCTGGACACTAGGGAAGTCACCTAACCTCTCTGAGTCTTGCCTTCTTCCCCATCGGTTGATGCTGTGGGGGCTTGGGAGATAGAGGCTGTGGGTTGGTGAGGGCATGTGCATAGGCCCCGATTTCTCTGCTTTCATGTTGGGCTTCCACTCAAGGAAAGGTTCTGGGCCAAGATCACTGTCACTCATGCAGCCCACTAGGCCGGTCCAGTCCTGATGTTCTGGATTCTTGGATCATGTTATAAGGAGCGCCCCGGCAGGGAGGGTAAAGGAAGAGGGAGGCTCTTGGGCTACAGTTCTGCCCTTGGGTGGGATGAAGGGGTGTCATAGAGCCCCCCACCTCTGGTGCCCAGGCTGGCCCCAGTGGCTCCAGCCATCGTCCAGTGCCCCAGATGGCCAACTTCCTCCTGTCACAGCCAGAGCCCTCCATGCCCAATACCGCCTTGCTCATCAAGAACCCCTTGGCTGCCACCCACGAGTTCAAGCAGGCCTGCCAGCTCTGCTACCCCAAAACAGGTAATGTCACACTTTCGTACTCCACCTCTGCCCAGAGATGCCGGGTATCTCAGGGGAGTAGAATCCCAGAGTGACATAACACTAGTGTACCAGTCAGAGATGAGTGCGGGAAACAGGAGCCCCTTCAGGGATTTTGAGCAGACAAGGATATAATATGGGAGCTGAGGCTTTCAAAACTGCTGGAAAGGGGGCGGGGGGCACTGCCCAGAGGCTGGTAACTTGTCATGGAATGCAGAGTCCAGCCGGCTGCTACAAAACACATCTGCCAGAGGAAATGCAGCCTGTACCTCCCTCCATGCTCCACCTCACAGTCCACTGAGTGCATCTCACTGGGTGAATTCAAATGTTGCTCAGAACTCAGGTGGCAAAGGACTCTGGGAAATGTATTAATAGTTCTTTGTCTCCCAGCCCCCAAATCCAACGGAGACAGTAGAAGCAGTTTAAAATAGGTGCCCAAGGTTGGTAGATAATTTTCAGCACATCTAGACTCTTAGAATTCTAGACTCTAAGATTCATGGCGTTTCATTTGCTAGAATTCCACAGTCCTGAGGTTTTAGAATGATATTCTCTTAGGATCCCAGGGTTAAAATTCCATCTCAGGGCTGTTGGAGTTGACAGGACCTTAGAGGTCATCCAGTTGCTGTCATCCACCTACTGTAAGACCTCCCTCTATACCCCCCACCCCCCGGGCATACATGTCACCCTTGACTGAGAGTCATCCCACCAGAGCTCCGTGGACCTGTGGGGCGAGGAGTAGAATGCCACCTTGTTGGATGGCTGTGCCCGCGAGGAAGTCTTTCCTTGCATGGGTGGATCTCATGCTGCCTCCCTGAGCCACATGCTCACTGCCCCCTGTGCTGGGGAAGCCCTCCCACCCCCACCTCATTGTCTGGGAAGAGGAGGCCCTTGGTCAGAAGATTTGAGAGGACCAGGAAGAGAAGGAGCAGGAGAGGGAGGATGAATCCGGGCAATGACTTTCCAGGGCAAGTAAAGAAAGGGGTGAGCGCTTGTGAGGGGCTGCTCTCTGCCAGGCACAGCCTTCATCCTAAGGAAACGTTGAAATGGTCAGGCTTGCTAGGGAGTCAGGGTGGTAGAAAGGGGATGGGTGCTGAGAAGGGGCTCCTTGAAGGGCCTCCCCTTAACCCAGGCCCTCCAGGGAGCATATGGCAGGGGAGGGTGTGGCGGGAAGCCCAGGTGAAGGAGGTAGGTTTTTAGGCAGGGGGGGCCAATTCCCACTGCTTGGGCCCGTCAGCAGCCATCATGCTTCGGTTCTGCTTCCGGCATCACAGTCCCTGTTCACCCTGCACCCACAGGCCCCAGGGCAGGTGACTACACCTACCGAGAGGGCCTTGAGCACAAGTGCAAGCGGGACATCCTGCTTGGCCGGCTCCGGAGCTCAGAGGACCAGACCTGGAAGCGAATCCGGCCCCGGCCCACCAAGACCAGCTTCGTGGGGTCCTACTACTTGTGCAAAGGTGGGTGGGCTGCGGCAGGGGCAGCCCTCACAGCCAGGGCCTTGCTCTTCTTCTGCCCAACTGCTTCCCTGCTCCTCATCACAGTGAGACAAATAGAACAGGTGTGGCCCATCGAGGATGAATTCCCACATCAGAATGAGCATCTCCCACCCCAACCAGCTCTGTAGACAGGAGGGAACATTCGGGATGTTCATTGGAGCTCTCAAGTGCGAGGATCAGACAGTTCCTGGAGAGCTAGCTTCTGTTACCGCTGTAGGTCCCAAAGGGCTGTTGGAAGGCTGTGGAAAGAATCCATGTAAAGCATATAGGACTGGCACGTAGTAAGGGCTTGATAAATGTTAGCTTTTTAAGAGTACTCTGTTGCCATTGTTCTCACTTCTGGCTCCTGTCATTTGGGTTGGTATTTAATGGACAGTTAGCATGTACCTTATTTGCTTCTGTTCCCCGACCAAGTGTCTTGGTGCAGTCTACATGGCAATACATGACAGTGACGATATTGTTAAGTGCTTTGTAATGTCACTCTTTTGTACTGACCATCACGAATCCTCACAGCAACTCTGGGTGAGGAAACGGGCTTTGGGAGCCCTCCCCAGACTCTGCCTTTGTCCCCTAATGCAGCCTGTGACAGTGGCCCACCAGGTTTTTTGGACCAGCTCACTGTCTTCCCAGCAGGATCTTAAGGACATGTCACCTGTGGGCTCGAAGGCCTCCAGCAGCATCCCCTGGCCAGTGTGCATGAAGTCTAAATTCTACATGTGCCCTTTGTTCCTCAGATCAGCCGAGCCATGACCCCTCTGCACGTGCTGTGCTCTGTGAACTCAGTTGTCCTCTGCTGCTCCTCCAAGCGGCGCCTGCATCAGGGAAGCCCTTTTCTGCAGGCTCCCCCAGGGCAGCGCTGGTCACAGCACAGAGTACAGTCTGTGGCGATCACCAGGCGCGCAGCTGCTCGTCCTCATGTGCCTGCAGCCTGGCAGAGGGAGGGGGAGAAAAAAAAGAAAAACAGTTCCCACCCCCAGGAAATGGCAGGTCTCCAGGTTGTCTGCCCTCCCAACTCCTCGGCTCCCAGGAGTTTTAGTTATTATCTCACTGAATCTTCATAAGGACTTGGGGTTCACCATTTGTGGACAGATAGCTGAGGCTCAGGAGTAATGGCGTCCCAGCTCAACCAGCTGGATGCCAAGGCCCAGGCTCTCACCAGATTTTCCTGGTAAATAATAATAACGATAATAATACAGCCCCTCGTGCTTAGTTAGAAGCTTGTATGCTCACTCTACCAAACCCTTTTCATCTCCGATCTTGCCTGACCCACACAAGGCATCCCTGTGGGGCAGTGGAACCGAATGGCCATGCTTTGCAGATAAAGGGGCACATCCTCTCAGCACCCCCAAGTGTAGAGCAGTGAAGGGACCTGGCTTGGGGAGGGCTTCCCTGGAGCTCTGCGGTGCTGCCCCTCCCATGTCCTTGTGGTCGACGGGCCACCATCCCACCGTGTCAGAGATGAGCCCTAGCCCCGCCTGGTGGTTGGTAGCCCCTCTGGGTGGTAGCTGGCCCCCCTGGGCTGCAGCTGTGGTTGTGGGGGCACTGCGGGCTGCCGTCCTGCCTGGCAGAACGTGTGTCCTGTTGCCTCTTTGCAGACATGATTAACAAGCAGGACTGTAAGTACGGGGATAACTGCACCTTCGCCTACCATCAGGAGGAGATCGACGTGTGGACCGAGGAGCGGAAAGGCACCCTCAACCGCGACCTGCTCTTTGACCCGCTGGGGGGCGTCAAGCGTGGCAGCCTCACCATTGCCAAGCTCCTTAAGGAGCACCAAGGCATCTTCACTTTCCTCTGCGAGGTACCTGCGCTCGGTCAATGGCACAGATGAGGACTGGGAGGGGGCTCCCTGGCTCACTTCATCGTGGAACCGGTGGGTTTTGGACGCCTGACCCCAGAATCAGTAGGTCCTTGAACCGTTAGAAAGCTAGGCTTAGAGGATCCTGGCAGGCTAGAGCCCAGATGCTATCCAGCTTCCTCATTTTGTGAAGGTAGAAACTGAGGCCAGAAAGAAATAATCACAGCTGCTGTTTCCTTACGGCCACCCTAAGCCAGGCTCGGCACCAGGTGCTTTGGTGTTCATCCATCCTCCCTACACCTCCTCGTCCAGCCATGCTGGCTTCATGCCCGCTGGGCCTCCCTGCCCCCTTCCCTGGTTTGGTGCTGCTTAGCCCAACTCCGACCCATCGCACAGCCAGCCTTCCCTCTTGACTCAGAGCGGGCCAACTCGGAGCCAGCGGCCTGGGAATCACAGCTCCCCAACAGGCGTCTGCATGTACTTTTTACAAAGCACTGGCAGTTCTGTTTTTTTGAGCTTTGTTTTTGAGTTTCACAATGACCCTGTGGGACAGAGCAGGTGTGGCTATCCCCAGTTTACAGTTGAGGAGACTGAGGTTCAGAGGCATGGAGTAACCCCTGCCCCAGGCATTTGGAGGAGCAGGATCAGCGAGGGCCCAAGGCCCAGGTGACCTGTAAGCCTCAGACAGAGAGGCAGGTGCCACAGACCCTGGGACCCCCTTCCTCTCTCCATGAACTCAGTGACTCAGGGCGGGACTTGCAGGGACCCAGTGTGTCCGCCCCAGGTGGCCATGCTGGGTCCCAGCCCACCCCCTCCCCTGGCAGATCTGCTTTGACAGTAAGCCCCGGATCATCAGCAAAGGCACCAAGGACTCTCCGTCTGTCTGCTCCAATCTGGCTGCCAAGCACAGCTTTTACAACAACAAGTGAGTGCGGCCTGAGGCCTGGCCCAGGGGTGGGGCACCAGGAAAGTCCCCCTGGTGCAGGCAGATGCCTGGTGAGCAGATGAGGCCAGCAGGTGGACCTAAGGCAAGGGGCAGAATTGGGACTCAGACCCAGCATCCACCTGTAAAGGACAGACCACATTTATTGAGCATCTGTTATATTCCAAGTGTCCTCCTGGGTATTTTGATGATCCCTCAGTCCTGTGAGAGCGAAGTTACTGTCTCTGTGGTACAGATGAGAAAGCTAAGGCTTGGAAGTAGCTTGCTCATCAGGCAAGTGGGAGGCCACATCTCTGACTCCCATCCGGTGTCCTCCCTGTTGTGACATTGGCGTTGCACAGTGAGTGGGAGGGGCTGGGTCAGCCAGGCACTCACCGTTGCTCTTCTGACCCCCTGGCTCTACTCCAGTGAGGATGATGGAGTCAGACAGACCTGGGGCTAAGCCCCAGCCTGGTCAAGGGGCTGGTCAGTGTCTTATGACCACCGTGACCCTTGGTTTCCTCATCCGGCCAGTTGAGATCCCAGCGTCCTGGGGTTGCTCTGAGGGTAATTAAAATTCCTGGCCTGGAGCAGGTACTCGATGATTATTCCTCTGGGTGCAGGACCAGTTCTGGAGCCTCGCTCTGGGGAACCTGAGGGAGATGCCCCTTCTCCCCCTATGGGCACTCCCTTCTCCTAGCCTTGTAGCAGGTGGGACCTGGTGCTCTGCTCCTGCAGGCATCTCCATCTTTGAGCTGGCCCCAGACTAAGGCCAGAGGACGGTCAATCAGCTGGGATTCTAACCCAGGACTGCCTGAGTAGGGACCCCTAGCTCTCACCTACTGTGCCATCACATTCCAGAAACGTCTAAAAGGCAGGAGGCACCCAGGGAGAAGCCCGTCCCCTACCAGGATGGTCGGGGTGGGATGGGCGCTGCAGACTGCATTCTGCCCCTGCCCCTGTCCCCCCAGGTGCCTGGTGCACATTGTCCGCTCCACCTCCCTCAAGTACTCTAAGATCCGCCAGTTCCAGGAGCACTTCCAATTCGACGTGTGCCGTCATGAGGTCCGCTACGGCTGCCTGCGGGAAGACAGCTGCCACTTCGCCCACAGCTTCATCGAGCTCAAAGTCTGGCTGCTGCAGCAGTACTCAGGTGGGGGCCTGGGCTGGGGGTGGATGGGCCGATTGATGGCAGGTGGAGGGCGACTCCAGGGGTTCAGAGGAGGGTGGTTACAGGGATTGGTGGGCTACCTCCAGAGGAGCCGGTGCTTAGACATCACAGAGGATGCAAAGGCTCTGTTCTTAGGGAGCTGCCAGGCTCGGGGGATCCCTCTCTGGGCACTGCCAGGGGAGCACATGCGGAGAAGGGAGAGGCAGGCAGAGCTGGGCTCCTGCTCCATTGGCTACCTGGGTGGTCGTCCGTAGGTCATATCCCCTCACTGAACCTCCACTTGCTTACCTGTGAGATCCTCATCTAACAGATTCAGTGAGCACCTGCTCTGTGTCGGGGCTGAGCAAGAACCAGTGAGGTCCTTACTCTCAGAGAACTAGCACGAGTAAGTGAGGTCGAGGCAGACAGTATAACAAGTGGGTAATAAATCCCGTATTCCATCTGTTTGAGGACACACATTTCTCCCCGCTGCACATCATAATTTAATTAGCAGCATTCTTTTGTGTGTGTGGAACATAAAATAATGGTACATCTAAGAATCAATGTCTTGGAGCTGTGGAACAGGATGATATAATTTCAGATGTGCATCTGTGCTAATAGGAAAGTAAAGGAGAGCAACGGAATGGAGGGGAATTCAGGATGGGGCGTGTGGGTAAGACGGTGGGGAAGGCCTCTGAGCAGGTGGCATTTGATCAAGGAAGGGCGGGGACAGCATTCCAGGCAGAGGGAACAGCACAGCTGGCGGCCCTGAGGCAGGAGCAAACTTGGTACAGAAAGACTATCCCTGAGGACAGAGCAGCTTAGCGCCTGGGTGGTGGCGGTGGGCAGGTGAGTGGGTGGGGGGAGTCTGTTAGAGATAAGGCCTGAGAGGTGGGCAGGGACCCAAGTGTGTAACAGTCTCCAGGTTATAAATAGTTGGGATTGTCCTAAATGTGATGCAAAGAGTCTGAAGGGTTTTAAGTGGGTGGCATTGTATGGTCTGATCAAGATGTTTTAGAAGTCACCCTACCTATTGGGTGGAGAATAGAGGGGCAAGGGTGGAGGGAGGGAGACGGGCCAAAAGAGGACTTGGAGCAGGCCTCTGTCCCAATCACAGATGAACAGATAGGCACAGAGATGAGCAGTTCCCCGCACTCTGCGTCTTCCCTGGCAGGCCTCTCTGGGGAAGGGTCCCCTCCGCCTGGGCCTGGGGTGGCACCAGCACCTCGCAGGCCCTTGCCTGTCTCCCCACTGAGCTCTGTCAGGGACACTAGTGTCTGCTTCCACCCTCCCCAGGCATGACCCATGAAGACATTGTCCAGGAATCTAAGAAATACTGGCAGCAGATGGAGGCCCACGCCGGAAAGGCCAGCAGCGGCTTGGTAAGGCCCAGGCTGGCATTGGGGGTGAGATCAGGCCCCATCCTTTCACTTGGACATAATTCCAGACTTACCAGAAATTGTAAGAATAGTACAAAGGCTTTGCATATACCTTTTCTGGATTCCCCAGGTGTTAACGTTTTACCACATTTCACACTTTGTGTGTGTGTGTGTACATGTACATCCACACATATACATCTATATACAGAAATATGCACACTTTTTTCTGAACCATTGGAGAGTTAAGTTGCAGGCATGGTGCCTCTTACTGCTAAATACTTCAGTGTGTACATCCTAAAAATAAGGACGTCCTCTTACATAATAACCACAGGACAGTTACAACATCACAAAAGTAACGTTGGTGTAATTGTTCAGATTCTGGTGTACTATTATTTAGATTTTGTGAATGGTCCCCAAATCCCAGGTAACACACTGCATTCCTCCCTTGTGTCTCTTTGGCCCCCTTAAACCAGAGCAGTTCCTCAGTCTTTCTGTGTCTGTCATGACATTGACATTTGGGAAGAGCCGCTTGCTTTGGGAAAGGCACATTCATCTGGATTGTCTTGATGGGTCTTCAGACCTCAGGGTGATGATGTCATGTTCTTGGTTCATTTATCAGGAGGCACGTCATCTGATTTGTCCCTTTGGTGATAGCTTGATAACTTGATTAATGGTGCCTCCACTGTGAAGGTTTCTCTCCTGTAAAGTTATATTTCTCCCCTTTGTAATTAATAAATATCTTTTGGGGAGATACTTGAGACCATGTGAGTATCCTGGTAGTCCTCAGACTTTTACCCACTGATTGTATCATCTTTCATCCCTCTTGATCTTCATCCTGGTCCTGAGAAAGTGAGCTGTGGCATTTGCAGATGGCGAAACGGGGGTGCAGAGCATGGTAGAGATGTGCCCAGGGGCACACGTAGTGGAGTAAACCCCAGGTTCTCTGACATCTTGCCCAGAGCTTGCTCTGCTCCCTCCCACCCTGCACCATTCCTGTCACTCCTGAGGGTTCCTCATCCATAAAATAGAACCATAGTCCTTCTCCTACCTACCATCCCCCAGGTAGGTGTGAGGCTCACGAGAGCTGGCCATGCTGCAGCTTGCTGAGGGCCTGCTCTTCACTGGCCCCGTGCTATCCTTATCCTCATACCCCAGGAGTGGGTCATTGTAACTTAAAATGACAGTGGGGACAGAAGGAGTGGTCTCCGGGCCCAGGAGATGGTGACTGTGACATGAGGCCTCCGTGCCATCCACACACGAGAGACGGCTCCCTCCCCGTGCCACTCCTACCCACTGATCAACTTGGGTGAAGGCTGGGCCCTTGGCCGCTCCTGAGACCAGCCTGGGTGTGGCAGGGCGCCAGCTGGCCGGTGGGGTAGGCCTGGCCCAGGCTGTCAGCAGGGCTGCCCAGCCCCGTTAGGCCTTCCTCTCCCTCCCAAGCCCCCTTGCTCCTTGTCCTTTTCCCTTCTCTCCTCTCCTCTGGCTGTTCCCTTCCTCTTTCCCAAGCCTGTTCAGTTCTCTTTTCCCCTCCTCCTCCCCCATGTGGTTTATTTTTACTCCTGGCCAGGAGCCTGGCTGGGAAGCATTGAGGGGCTCAGGCTGGACCTGCAGCAGCATCTTCTAAAGCGAGAACACTTGAGTTCTCATCAGCCCTTAGCTCTCTAACCCCGCTTCATCCTGCGTAGGTCTGCTGCCAGGGCCCCTAGGAATGAGTGCAGGCCTAGCTGCCCAAGATGCCGTGACAGGCTTCAACCCTCTCTTGCTGCCAGGGACCCCACCCTTCCCACCAAGATGCTACTCTCTGGCCTGGCTGGGGAACAGAGCTTCTGTGCCAGGCCTGGTCATGGCTTACCATCAGAGGGCAGAGCCAGTGGCACTCTGGGGCTGAGGACCAGATGCCAGGGTAGAAGCTGCTTAGGCCCACTGCCCATGGCACAGCTGTGCCATCCCGCAAAGGAGAATGAACACCCGTCTCAGGCCAGGTCCCTGTCCTCAGGCCACATACCTGTGGTTGGATTAGTAACCTCTCTGAGCCTCTGCCTAGAGTTGGGGTGGGGGGGTCACTTCCCACTGGTAAATGATAATGGACCAGCCCATTCCAAGGCTCTGGGCAGCCCTAATATTCCCAGAGGCCACCTGCGTGATGGACCCCAGGGCCTCAGCCCTGTGCTGCAGCTTCACCAGCCCCTCTCCCCTGCAGGGTGCCCCACGGGCTCACGGGCCCAGCACCTTTGACCTGCAGATGAAGTTTGTGTGCGGCCAGTGCTGGAGAAATGGGCAGGTGGTGGAGCCTGACAAAGACCTCAAGTACTGCAGTGCCAAGGCCCGGCACTGGTGAGCAGGCACCGGCGGGGGCGCAGGCGGGCTGAGGACCCACCTGAGCACCACAGGTGAGGGGGCCGGGCTCTCCCTGGAGGTCACAAACCCTCCTTAACCAGCCCCCTGCTCTGCCCTGTAGCTGGACCAAGGAGCGGCGGGTCCTTCTGGTGATGTCCAAGGCCAAGAGGAAATGGGTGTCAGTGAGGCCACTGCCATCCATTCGCAACTTCCCACAGCAATACGATGTGAGCACCGGGGGTGGGGTGGCAGTGGGACCTCGGGTGGGGGCCCCATGGGGCTCCGGGAGCGCTTGCCCTCCAGCTGGGGCAGTGACACAATCCAGGGTACTCAGCAGGCTCTCCCCTTGCCCCCGCCACAGCTCTGCATCCACGCGCAGAATGGCCGCAAGTGCCAGTACGTGGGGAACTGCTCCTTCGCACACAGCCCAGAAGAGCGGGACATGTGGACGTTCATGAAGGACAATAAGAGTGAGCGGGCAGGGCAGGGCCGCCAGGGTCCCCTCATTGCCGACACCCCGCTCATCAGCAGGCCCAAGAGCACCTGCTTGAGTGAACCTCCCTTTGCCTCCCGGGCCCTTGTCCAGGTGCGCCAGGCCACACCCTCTCGGGTTCTCTTGCTGACTAGGCAGCCCAGCAGCAGGGCCTGGGAGGCCCCCAGCTCCCCGGTCCAGCAGGGGGTCACGGGGCAGAATGGATGGGTCCCCTCTCACCAGGCACTCTGTCCCCTGTTCCCCACCAGTCCTGGACATGCAGCAGACCTATGACATGTGGCTAAAGAAACACAACCCAGGGAAGCCGGGGGAAGGGACCCCAATCAGTTCCCGGGAAGGGGAGAAGCAGATCCAGATGCCCACAGACTACGCCGACATCATGGTAATGTCCCCACACGTGTCAGGGCCATGGTCGGAGCCAGGACAGGCAGCGGGGATGGGCTCAGGCTCCGGGCAGGGGTGTGAGGAGCGGGCACCCACGGTGGCTGTGCCCCTAGATGGGCTACCACTGCTGGCTCTGTGGCAAGAACAGCAACAGCAAGAAGCAGTGGCAGCAGCACATCCAGTCCGAGAAGCATAAGGAGAAGGTCTTCACATCTGACAGCGACGCTAGCGGCTGGGCCTACCGCTTTCCCATGGGCGAGTTCCGGCTGTGCGACAGGTGCTCCGGGGGAGGGCAGGGCTGGGGGGTGAACAGGCCATGAGCCTGAGGAGATGGAGGCCATGGCCAGCTCCGGCTCCTCAGCCTGGAGGTGGCGCACAGGGCGGGAGGGGTCGGTGATCAGACACAGCTGCTGGATGTGAGGAGCAGGGGGGCGGGCAGGACCTGGCTAGACCACTCCTTTGCAGCCCTGGGTCAGCTGCTCCAGAAGGCTGGGACATGCCAGCTCTCGGCAGGACTGAGGCTTCCCGGGAGGGGCTCGTCTTGGGGGAGGGATAGCGGCCTGTTGAAGGTCCGGCAGCCCGTGGCGGACAGGGCACAGGGCTTGGCAGTGAGCCTCGTGCCACCCACAGGCTCCAAAAGGGCAAGACCTGCCCCGACGGGGACAAGTGCCGTTGCGCTCACGGGCAGGAGGAGCTCAATGAGTGGCTGGATCGGCGCGAAGTGCTGAAGCAGAAGCTGGCCAAGGCCCGCAAGGACATGCTCCTGTGCCCACGGGACGACGACTTTGGCAAATACAACTTCCTGCTGCAAGAGGACGGCGACGCCGCTGGTGCTGCCCCGGAAGTCCCTGCTGCTGCCACTGTCCCCGGGGAGTAGGGCCAGGTTTGGGTCATGGGAGAAGTCCTAGGGTCAGGGGGCGGGGCGAGGACAGAGGGCCTGGTGGAAGGGCCAGGGCTGGGGGTGGGGGGCCGCCCTCACCAGGCAGCTCCCCGCCCCGGGGGCCCCACCCATCCCGTGTGCCCCCACTGGCCCCGTGTGCAAGCCCAGGTGCACATGCTGCAGTCCAGGGGGTCCCAGGGTCCTCGTCCTGCTGAAACCCTGGGCAGCCCCTCCGCACCCCCCTGCTCTCCTGGTTGGGGAAGGAGGGGTCTGGCTGACCCCTCTAGCTTCAGCTACAGCTTTAACTTCTGTCTGCTCCTAAAGGGGGCCCAAAGCTCAGGGCTGGGGAGCCTGGGGTCCCCACTTGAATCTGCAGCAGGATGGTCCTTCTCCCTGCCCTGCCCTCACCCCACCCCCACCTCCCTGGGGGCAGATCAGGACACAACAGAGGGCAGGAGTCCCCAGTTAGCTTTAAAATGCAGCCCCAGAATGGAGCTGGGGACACTGTACCATTCACTTACTCTCTGAGGCCTCAGTTTCCCCTCTGGTTGGAAGAGTGGGAGGGGCTGGACTTGATGATTTCTGGAGTCTGGCTCTCTAGTGAGGCCACCAGCCCAGCCCCTCTCCATCTTGTGCCACTGACTATAGATTGTAGATCCTCAGAGCCTTCGGAGATGACCCAGCCCAAACCCCCATTTGGCAGATAGGAAAACAGGCCTAGAAGGGAGGAGTGGCCTGCCCAGGGTCTCCAGCCCACGGCATGAGGTAGAGCTGGGGTGCAAACTGTGGTCAGAAGACTCAGGGCCGGTCATCAGCCGGAGCGTCCAGGCTCTGAGCAGGGATGTGATAACCTCTGGATGCAGCTGGGATCTCAGGCAGCGCCGCCCAGGAGCTGGGGAAGGGAGGCTCGGCACCCTTGGAGGGACAGTCCCCTTCTGAGGAGCGTGTGGAGAGTGTAGCAGCAAAGGTTACTTCCCCACGCCACTCAGGGAGAGGTGATCATGGGCAGGGCACCCATAGGCTCAGATTCTGCATGAGGGATGGGGGAATAGGGGTATGACCCTGGGCACCATGGGCCACTCCTTCTTTCTTGGGGACCCAGCTCGGTCCTTTCCAAAACCCTTTTCCCTCTAGACCTGGACATATAATTATGACCATCTGTCCCAGTCTCTCCCTGCTCCCCGGCCCCAACAGCTGCCTAGGACCCCAGCTGACTCCCAGCCCTTGCCCCCACCCACCAAGCCCTTCTCCCATCCCCCTCGTCTGATGTCTGTGTGTGTCCCCTCCTCTCCATCCCACCCCCTGTGGGCAGACCCAGCCTTCCCTGGTTCCCTACACATTCCAGAATGCCTCACACCATTGGCACAAGAAGTGGGGCCCCCCCCCGGAAGGAACCGGGGTTCAAGGCTGAGTTGGGGGTGAGACGGAGAGTATAAATACCCCTTATTTCTCCTCAAGCAAGGATCGATAGTGTGCGATATGATGATGGGCACCCCGGGCCGCAGAGAACCCTGTTCCTCTTGCTGCCACTGCCCAACCTTTCCCCAATAACCGTGGCATGCATCCCTCCCCCCCCTGCTCCTTCCCCCAGCAGGCCAGCACTGCAGTTTGGATGCTGGTGGTGTGGCTGGAGGGGAGGAGAGACCACACCCAAGGTAGGGGCCGTGGCCATGAATGTCAATGACACTTGTTTTCCCTGATCCGTGGTGTTGCAGTCTGTCGTCACCAGCCTTGTTTTTAGTGTGTATATATGTCGCCCCCGTGATGCATATATACACAGGTATTAAATATATCGCTCTATATAATATTATATATGTGTGTGGTATCCAATGAATCACTTCTAATGAGGGCTAAAGATAAAGAATTTGGCCAGAAAAATGCAGCCATCCTGGTGTAATTAGGAGGGGTTTTCGGAGTCATCAAGTCATTTGTGAGGCTTTAGGGACTGTAGCCATGGTCAGAGGTGATTGGGGCAGCAGGGGCAGAAGCCCCGCCTGGGCCCAGCTCTGCCTGGTAGCTTCCAGACCACCCCAGACTAGTGGGGAGAGAGCCAGAGTGCTCAAGGAAAAACAACGATTGGCATTTGTCTCCCAGATTAGAGCGCAGGTTTTTTCTTATCCTGTTATCTGACCAGGGGCCCTTAGGGTCTGGGCCTTCCTGGCCTGGCCAGAGCTGGATCCCCGAGCAAGAGGTGGCCGGAGGTGATGGAGGGTGGGGGTGGGGGACAGGGGGACACTTCGAATGGTGAGGGTGATTATTTCAGCTGTGACTCTGACCAGGAGTCTCAGAGTGGAGTTGGGCCTGTGCCCACTGCCATCAGGCAGGGCCAAGATGTCATGGGGAACATAGTGAGGGGGACAGGGGCCCCTAATGTGAGTTGAGCGTCCCTTGCCCTTTGGAGTGGGACAGAGAGGGTTGCTGCATTTCTTAGCTGGGCAGTAATCAATTTAAGGCTCCTTTTAAAATGTCTGTGTATTAAAATTTTAAGAATACCACACTTTAATATTAAATATTCATAAGGTCTAGTATCTTGATAATAATGTAGATGTTTTAATAACAATTTTTGTCCTTCTTAAAATAAAATGAAAGAAACTTGCTTCTTTTAGCCTTTGTTCTAGAAAATAAACGTGTGCATTCTGACCTCTGTCCCCAAGGTGTCGCTCCTGTTCCTCCCTGCCTGGCACTCATGCCCCGGGACCTAGGCTGCTTCATACTCACCGGGCAGAGCTGGCTGGCTCTGGGCACGCCCCAAGGCAGACATTCCAAGGGGTGAGGGGCAGGTCTGTGTCCCTGTGTAAACAGGGCAGCTCAGCTGACCCCGGCTCAGGCAGCACCTCGGCTGACAGGGACAAGCTGTGCTCTGCACAAGCGGCCCCAGTCGCCACCCTTTGCTGGCTCTTCCCTTTGCTGGCTTTTTTTGTGTGTGTGTGGAGGGCAGTGTCACCGGTCCTCATATGTGGGATCCGAACCGGGGCCCTCTGGCATCCCAAGCCAGTTCTTCACCATTGCGCCACTCGGCCGGCCCCCTTTGCTGGCTTTTGTGCAGCCTGCCTCTCTCGGCCCTCTGCATGACCGTCCAGCGGTACCCACACCTCCCTGCTTTACCACTTGCACCATCCTGGGTTCCAGAGGGCCGGCTCTATGCCCTTTCTAGGCGTGGCTTTTACAGAAAGACGAGGGGCCTTGCCATGCTTTGGAATATCTCAACTACAACCCAGCCTCCCCTGGGCACAAGGGAGATCCAAGTCATACGGGCTTCCTCATCTTTAAAAGGAGAGCATGTATTAGATCAGGAACTCAGTGGGGGACACCTGTACCTGCTGGGGTGAGAGGTACTTTTTCAAATCTCGGATTGTATGTGGTAGCAGGTCATGGAGGGAGATCCTAATGGGAGGGGCTGCATGTATTCATGAGCAGGCTCACGGGACAGCTTTAAACTGTGATACAGAGTGGCCCCAGGAGCTGAGGTCCAACCCCTGTGACTTCGACTCTAAGGACAGAATCATCTGGGCTTGGTATGCAATAGGTAGGGGCTCAGATGCTTCATAACTGACCAGAGGAGTAAGAGCAGCCAACTCAATTGAGCACCTTCCGTGCACCAGGCACTGGATGCAGGACGTCTGTTCTCCACAGCAACCCTGCGTGTTTGGTGTCCACATTTACAGCCAAGAGAGGTTCAATGAAGGTTGCAAGGACCCTCAGAAAGGAGACCGAAGAAAGATCGAAAATCATTGGGAACTGGCTGATGGGCAAAGGTCCCTTCAGCGCTGATGTCTGGAGTTCTTGGCACCCCTGGCTGCACCGTGAAAAGGCAAAGTGGCATGACAAGGTGATGTTCCCGAAAGAAAAGTGCAGACCCATCCTAAAGTTGGAGAGATCGTGAACCTGCGTCAGGACCTCGCTTGAATTCAGAAGCCAAAGAGTAAAATAACCTGGTGGACTAAGTTCTTCAATTCTCATAAATTCCCCTAAGTCTCTTCTGGTCCTCATTTAGCTCAGGTTGGTAAACATTAACTGAGCAGCCTCCCCGTCTCAGATCCTGGGGATACAAGATTACTGAAGAATAGTGGCTTCCCATGAATCTTCAATCTGCCAGGGGACACAGACCTACAGGGAAGAATGTAGCATGATGTGACATGCAGTGGTGGGACAGACACCCCAGGTGCCAGAGAAGACACCTCATTCAGGCTGGGGAGCCTGGGAGGGCTTCCTGGAGGAGGTGACACTGGAACTGAGGCTTAAAAAGATTGTATTATTGTAATCAGTATGCACTTATTGTCCTGCATCTTCTTCTCTCGACTGTATTTTACACGTGCATCTCCATGCCCCTATGTAACCTAGATATTTAGGATCAGTGTCTGACATTTCCTCCATTTAGGGGCCCGCACTGGCTTGAGCAGCCCCCAGTCATTGAATGCAGGCCCATTTCCAGTCTTCGGTCCTGTGACTAGGGGCCACGGTGACCACACCACCGCTACCATACCCCAGTGGGCTCCTCCCTGCCTCTGGGGAAGCTGCTTGCAAGGAGAGGACACCTGGGCAGCAGGGGTGACTGTCAGGGACCTGGGGGTGCAGGTGAGGGCAGCTCTGCATCTCTAGAGAAAACCTTGAGGGCTCTGCCAGAAACTGCATCCACATATCCCCCCGACCAGGGGAGCCATCTATAGCAAGACCTCTGAGCCAGGAACCCCGAGAAGTGCAGACAACCCCAACACACCTGCCATTTGCCCCCTCCAGATGTCCCCAGGCTTATATGTGGCCTCACCTCTCCCTACCTCTGCCCTCCCTAGCCACTTGACCCAGCAATGGCATAAAGTCCTTAAGGGTAGGGACTTGCCTGGCAGGTTTGGTATTTAACTTTGAATTCTTCACAAGGTCTGGGCCGTGCCAGGTATGCAGTAAGCACTGTTTCACAGTCTTGGAGGCTCAGTACATTGTACAAAGGGGTCTGCAGAGAGCTCACAGGAACCAATCTCCAAGAATGAAGTGTCACAGCAGGTGGGTATTTCTGAGACATGTAGGGTACTTCCTGTTGCCTCTGAAATCACACTCCGGGCACCTACCCACTCTACCTTTGTGGTAAGCCGGTCTTGCACACGACAGGGTTCTTGGAACAAGGAATGGTTAATGCACCAGCCCAGCCTCAGCCCCAGCCTGCAAATCGAGGCTGCCTGAACACCTGGCCCACAGCACCTGGGGTCGCAGAGGCAAAGGGCACAGGAAGGGTACATACAAAATGAAATTTGTTGTGAAGAAAAGGAATGGGGAAGACAGACATTTCTGAAGGACACCTTTATCAAAAGTTTCAAGCTTTGAACCATATACTGTTTTTTGTGTTCAAAAATTGAAATTAATTAATTTGGGAAAAGAACATGGTTTGGGGAGGGTTTTTGTGGGGTGAGTAATTAGAGGACAAGGTGAGGGTGTTGGGAATGGAGAGGCCTGAAGTGGTTCCTGGAGTGTGTCTGATTCTGTGAAAAACGGGAATTTGGAAAGTAACAAAGGACTGCATAGAAGTCAGCTGCAGTCCAAGGAAGCAACTGCTTATTGCATCCAACTGGAGTGTCAGGGACACAACCAGAGCTGAAGGGGACCTCAGAGGTCACAACATTCAGTAGTTTTGGACCAGAGACCCAGAAGATCTGCACAGCTTGTTCAAGACACCACATCAGTGTGTGGCAGTGTCAAGAGCCGACACCCCCGGCCAAGTGTGATGTCGGTCTTCAACCACACGTTCAAGTGGCCTGGGGACCACAGAGGCCAGTGTCCTGGAGAGAGGGCCAGGGAGGGGATTATAGCAAACAGCCAGTTGCCACCAAGGTTCCCAGAATGAGCTGGGAAGCAGGACATCCCCCAGGACAGGCCTGAGCCAGGTCTGCAGAGCTGCCCCTTTCAGTGGTGCCTGCTCTGCCTGCCTTTCCAGTGCGTGTCTGCTGGCACCTGCCTCTTCTTCCCTCTCCAGAAGACCAGAGGACCCCACGCTGCAGGTTTTGTCACTTCCCTGAGGAGAACAGGCTTCTGGCTGTGCAGACGGTGGAAAGCCCCAATTATGCATGCCACATGCACACCCGTGTGCTTTGCAGGGCACACGTGCATCTGCATCAAAACACACCAGCCACCCCTGGAGGTTCACAAGCCCACAGGTGACTGTGCGATGCACCTTCACGGGTCTGTGTATGCCAACACAGCTTATCCTTCGTGCCGAGTTGCCTGTGGTGCCCGGGTCTCAAGTCGCAGCCCCAGCTGGTTCCCGTGGCAGGTCCTGCTCTCTGCTGCGCCAGGGCTCCTCCACCGAGCGTGCCTGAGTGTGCGGTGCACGTTCGCTGTGGGCGTGGAGCCGGCTCACTGTTCTCACCTGGCAGGCCCTGGTTATGGCTCCCAGCCTGGGGGAGAACTTCCCTTTGCAAAGTTAGATAACAGGCCGGGCTCTCTGTCAGAGGATTGGTGCGGTGGTTCCACGTGCTGCAGCTGGCACAGGGCCAGGCCCGCCCTGCCAGCCAGCGGGAAGGGAAGGCCTGGCTGCAGCCGGAGCTGGCAGGTGGCCCAGCTGGGGGTGGACAGGCAGGCTGGGGTCCACGCTGTCCATTGGCTGCCTCAGGCTCCCACCCCGCCCGCCTCCACAGCTTGCGGCTCCTCAGCCAGCTCCTGCCTCTCCAGCTGCTTCTGAACTCCCAGAGCAAGCTCCTCCTGCCATGTCAAGCTGTGACCGGATCGGAGTGGCCCCTGCCATGGACATGCCTGAGGTTCTCAAGTCCCTGCTGGAGCACTCTCTGTCTTGGCCAGAGAAGAAGACAGGTAGGAATGGAGGTGGCCTGCATTGGCTGGCCACCCAGGTGCCGAGGGACGGGGGCAGCCACAGGCACAGCAGCAGGACAGACATTTACCTCCAAACTAGAGGGGGTCCCTAGCAGGGGTCTGCCCTTGGTCCCTTCCTGGGCCAGAGGAAGGGCTGGGGTGCAGAGAGAGACACGGTGGGCAGTGCCACTGCAACTCCGGGACTGCCCCCTAGGCCTGCTAGCTGGGGGGCGCTATGGCCAGCATGTGGCCACTGACAGGTGCTGTGCTCCGGTGGGACATGGACAGGACCTGAGGACCCTGCTGAGAGAATGCCCTGGGTGCTGATGCTTATTAAGTCCCCACCCTGTGCATGCTGGGGTGGCAGGGGACTGGCAGAGACTGTAGCTGTGGGCAGTCTCGGGTCTGGAGAAGAGGCTTTCCTCCATGCGCCTGTTTCAGCTCCCGCTCGCTGGAGGGCTGAACCCACGGATGGGAGGGAAGCTGTTATGTAACAGAACTACAGGCTTGAAGCCCGGGTTCCTAAGATACCACAGGCAAACATGGGGCAAGGGAGCCGGCGGAGGAGGGCGTGGACCACAGGACAGAACCAGCTGCCAGCCCCAGGTGTCTCCCAAGTCCTGTCTGAGTAACCCAAGGCAATGGCTAGCTTGGGGGCCACCTGCTCAGGGTACCCCCACCCCCACCCCGCTAGATATTTCTCCCATCTCTTCTGTTCTGAGATGTCAGGGGCTCACACCCAGGTCCTCATTGTTCAAACAGTCCAGGTGCCTTTAGAGGAACCCAGCTATTCTCGGCTGCCCGAGTCTGACTTAGGAGCCCCGGTGTCCCCTCAGGGGCCCTCTCTCAAGCCTGTCCCTCATATACATGTGGTACATTTCATCACCAGGTAGCCCTGGTTGTCCCCGCAGGACTTCCTTCCACAGGACCCTCAGCCCACTCCCAGGCTCTGGAGCCTGAGGACAGACACCACAGCCCCTGCCTTCTCTCTCAGCCCTCGGGCAGCTGGGCTCAGGGAAGGAGAGGCGGCAGGCTCTGCTCCATGGAGACACTGCTCGAGAGAAGAAGGTGGGTCCCAGAGCTCAGGGCAGGGTCCCCATGGGCTCTTACGGGAGCAATGGGCCCCGGCCCCTCAGACCACACCCTGCAGTTTTGAACACTGGGGCTGTCCGGGCCACCCTCCAAGGCAGGCATCACAGAAGGAGTTCCTGTGCCCTCCTAGCACTCAGGACCCCAGCTGCTCACCAGGAGAAGCCCATCTCCTCAGATCACCCTCAGCTCAGCCTGGCAGATGAGCTACGGCTGACATTTTTTTCCCATCTCTGAACGGCAGCCCATGTGGGCTGGCGAAGCTGAAGTTCATCCAAAAGCTAGAGGTAGGGGGCTCCCTTCTTGGTCCAGGTAACCAGGGAAGCCGGGATGTCCCGGGTGGCCGACTGCATGCACAGGGAATGGCTGGGCTGTTGGCAGCTTGCAGGGACAGCTCCGAGCTGGGCAGGGAGGGGTGCTTGGGGGCAACTCAGGGCGCTGCTGCTCTGATGAGGATAACAAGGCCTTTGAAGTGTGGCAGCAGCTGCTGGTTGCTGGCTCGCAGCTGGTCCACAGAGCCCTGCGACAGCCGGAAAGTCCCCATCGCTCACTGTGGATGGGAAAGTCGGGGCCCAGCGCTGAGAAGACTTGCTAAGGTCTCAGGCAGAGCTCTGCCAGACGCTGGCCAGCCCTGACTTGAGGATCAGCTGCTTTGGTACAGCTGGGTTGCTCCAGGAGCACGAACCAGTGTCTCGGGCCACCTCCTATCACTTCTCTATGTGGTATCTCACTGAGGGTCAGAAGCATGAGGCCCCGCGGGACTGACAGATGCCAATGGGTAGATTAAAGGAGGGGTCAGTGCATCCCACAAAGACCTCACTCACATTACTGCCCCCAACCCGCCATCACCACTTTCCAAAGCTCCCAGATTCTCCAAATCTTTTATAAAAATAAAAGTATCTACCTGAAAAGCAATATAACTCAGTGGGAAGAGGGCACACACGCCATACAGAACTAGAATTTAGAGCAGTCATGTGGCAAGTACTTTAACAGTTCTTGATGCAGCAGCTTCTCTCCCTGTGTTCCCCACTCTGGTTTTGGACCTCAGTGGGAGGAAGACAGTTGAGGTGCCAGTTGCCCTGGAAACAGTTGCCCTCAGGATTGCTTGCCCTTTGCTTCGGTGTAAAAGGGGTGGTTTTTCGTGGGGGACTGGGACCTCTTAACAACCCACCACACTTTCTCCAGCCAAGTGACTGCAGCAGCACACATGTAGATCACGTGCGGAGCATATCTTGGGTCCAGCATGAGGGAATTTCAGAGGAAAGCGTGCGGGGTGTGAGAAATCCCAGGTGTGCTCTCACGAGACTGCTCTTCCTGCAGCCTCTCACTCCATTTTCTAGTTCAAACACGCTCCCTGAGACCAACCTTGGGATCTCTCCCTCTCCCTCTCCCTCTCCCTCTCGCTTCCCACCCCAGCCTGTGCAGGCAGACCTCCACCTCTTTCCTGTCCCTGGCTAAGCAGGCTTTATCTAGCAGAGCTCATCAGGCTTCAGCCTCCCTGGCTTCAGGTTACAATGGCCACCTGGTGGCCCCTCACTCTGAGCCACCAGTTTGACCAACTTTCTGTGGGCAGAGAAATCCATGTCCAGCAAAACGGTGGGTCTGTATCCCGAGCCCTGACTCAGTTTCCCCTCT